CCGCGTCCAGCAGCACGCTCACGGCGGAGCTGGACGGGTTCGGGCCCAGCGCGAACTGCAGCCTGACCTTGCCTTCCATCTTCTTCGAGCCTGGGCCCCGCGGCGCCCTGATCGTGAAGTGGCGGATCAGCGAATTCACGTACTGCGGCGACTTGTCTTTCAGGTGGACGTTGAAAAAGGTCTCGGCTATCTGCTTGATCTCTGTCGGCGCCACTTTCATGAGCGCCCTCGTCGTCATGAAGAACACTGTGATGAACGGCGGTCCAGGCGACGCCAGGTCCACGTCCTCGCCCGCCGCCTTTCGGTCGTGCAGAGCCTTGACCATTTCCGTGTAGAACTTGTTTGCTCCGAGCCCGGCCTTGCCCAGGTACGAGTCCGCGGAGATGAGGAAGGTCGACTGCACCACGGACGAGAGCAGAGCCTGCTCGCGTGCAGTGGCGAGCGAAAGCATGGCGACCTTGGATACGAGGTTGTCGTGCTCCGCGCCCTTGCCCTTGCCCTTCGGCTCTTTCTGGGACTGGGACGCGCCTGCGGGCTCGCCGTCGGCCTTCCTCTTCGGCGCCAGCTGGACTCCCGCCCACGGTGGAGCCGCGTCCTCGCCGAACATCTCCTCGTCCACATCTATGAGCATGGGCATGCTGCAAGTGTGATCGTGCGTGAAGGTTGTATTCCTGAATACCGTGATGCACTGAGCCACAAACTCTACATACCATCTCCGCGGGAACTTCGATCTCGGATAACGTGGTCGCTTTGTTTCGAAGACATCGTCCGTGAAGCAGGGATCCCTCGAGATGTTTACACGCCGTCAGCCGTTCACCAAAGACTTCCCCGTATAGTATACATTGGTTTGTGAGCGTGAGAGCATGTGAGAGTTTAACACTATTATGTACAATGCGGATGTGATTCGCTACACCAGATCTACTACTGAAAGTGGCTCCACAGGGGCCCGAGTCATCCACCCAAGGGCAATGGGGGAAGGCCGGGCGGGGAAGGCCGCCCGCTGTGGGGGGGGGCGGGGGGGTGGTGTGGGGGGGGGGAAGGAGTGGAGGGTTGGGTTGGGGGGCGGGTGAGGGTCGTGGAGGCGGGGGGGGTGGGGGGCGGGGAGGGGGACGGGCAGGAGCAGGGGAGGGGGACGGGGGGGGGGAATTGGGGGGTGGGGGGCGGGGGGCGGGGGGTGGGTAGGTGTGTCCGTTTTTATTTATTCTTCTTTTGTCTTTTTTTGTTTTTTTTATTTTTGTATTTTTCATTTCCGCAAACCTTATTTTTTTGTCTGTTCTGATTTCGGGGGGCTCTTCTCGCGGTGACCCAAATCCCCGCAGCCTCCCTGACGGAAGAGGAGGCGGGGCACCAAGGGAGCCAGGGGAGATATTCACGCAGAGGGCTTCACCCCTGAGGATATTTATATCGACTCGACGGAATCGCGCAGCGAATTCAGGCTCGAATAACCTTTTCACCCGACCTCGACAATCGGACCAGATGTCAGCAGCTTCTTCAGACACCAGCACAAGCTGCTCGATGTCTGCCTGGACTCTCAAAGCCCACGGATTAGCATCGGGACGGATTGAGGCAAACTCGCCGAACACATCCTCTCCAAGGAAGACCCCGAACCACGCAGCAATCAGCTGACGGTGGGATTCTGGGGAGGAGCAAATACCTTGAAACCACTTCAGCCGTCGCACTCTAAGCTCAACACAGAGCGGGATGATTTTCCAATACTCAAGCACCTGCTGGGAGGACAGCGAGCGGACATGGTGCGCATCTTCCCAGCTCGCCTTTCCTCTCATCGCTCTGCGACACAGGCCGGCCACCGCTAGCTCCAACTTGCGGAGCTGACCCGTGCTTGGAATAAAACATTCGACCGCCGAGAGGGCGGAATTAACCACATGGCATAGCAACACACAGCGTTTCCATTTATATGGTATGTTTGGCGCCTGCCAGAAACGCCCCATTCTAAAATAGGCCGTCTTCGCAGCCTGGATCCGTTTCCCAAGCTCGATTTGGAAAGATTGAGTGGGGGTCAGTCGGGGGCCTAAGTATCTGACGGCCTCCCCACAGCTACATTCCATGCCTCGCAACATGCTAGCTACTCTACGCTTGGCTGAGGGCGGGACCGAAAAAAAGGCCTCTTGTTTCTTTGGGTTTCGTTTGAGGCCGATCTTCGCCAGCTCAGCGTCAAGCAAGGCATCATTCTTCTGCACAATGTATCTGGCCCGATCCAGAGAGAAACGCGGACCGAGGACCAGCTTTTTTAAAAGATCGTCGGCAAACTTGGTGAGGCCCAAGTATACTTTGGGCGGGTTTAAAACTTCACATATAGCTTCTAAATCTTTCTCCTGGGGATCCTGTTCGCGACAATTCACAATCCAACGGTCGACGGGAGTACGAAACACGTGAACAAACGACAACACAGCGAAAGGATCCCCCTGGAGCATGCCGCACCCAGTTTTCAGCAGAAGATCGCCTCCTTCCGCTGGGATGCTGGTGCAGGCTAGCCTATATCTCTGCTGGCAGAAGCTCGTCTCCCGTCCCATGGCCATCTCCTGAGCAGCCTCATCAACTGCTGGCCACGCGGGAGACGCAAAGGCATTGCTTAAATCCTTGAGTGAATCGATCCAGTACAGTCCTGCTTTATTCAGTCGCCAAGAAGTGCAAAGGTTGGCGGCGATCGCATCTTCCCTTCTCCTACGGCGCAGAAAGCCGTGGTCCATCTCTGAATGCTGATACGGCGGTCCTCGTTTCATCACACGCTTCAAAAAGGCCTTGCCGAGCGGGTCTAGGCCGTGCACCACCCGACGCCCAGCAGGGCCTGGCAACGCGCTCTTCTGCAGAGCAAATCCCTGACTGCAGGACCACAAACTTGGGAGAAGACCAGACTGCCGAATAAGGAAGAAGACTCGAACTAGCCAGCTTCTAACTTGTTCACCCCACACCGCAGGGAGTTTCGAGCCAAGTCCAGCGCAGCGACGAGGATCCTCCTCAGGAGGCTCACCGACCCCCAGCCCCCACAACTCCACAGGTAAGGACCACCGCGGGACTCCCTTTCTTTTAGAAGCTGTTTTTAAATATCCTTGAAACGATGCTAGGTCTCCCATGGCATCCTTGTATGATTGGTCGATGCGTTCCTGCCGAAACATCGGCGGAGCAGCCGGCCGTCGAAAGTGTTCCCTTCCCCTCACCAAGTCACCCCACTCCAGCCTCGACGCCAACATCCCCCCCTCCCCTCCTGGCTTGGACCAGGCCTCCAGCCATTCGTCCTCGGTCGGCAGTGCGCCCTGCAGGCGCGAGAAGTCGCGCTTGCCGCTGCCGAAGCGGCCGCCCGCGAGACGCAAGCTCAGACGGTGAACCTCGGCCAAGTTGCGCCGCCTCCATGCCTCGTAGATCTCCTCGACCAGCGCCTCCTGTCTGCGTGCGTAGCTCATCTTGCGCTGCCTGTGGCACTTCTGTGTGGCAGCCTTGAGCGCGACGTTGCATGCCTCGAGCTCCTCGGGGTCACAATCATGAAGTTGCAAACGTAGTTCACGCCGTTGAGCCAGTAGCTGAAGACGCTCCTGCTTGTCATCATCAGCCTGTGGCTTGTCGACACGTTCGAAGATGTTCTTGCCAGCCTCTCGCATCACGGTGTCCAAGGTCTTGAGAAGCTCTTCAGGAGTGTCTCCAGCATGATTGTCAAGATTCAGCTCCGCTAGCTTCGACTCAACAGCAACCACAAAGTCATATCGCTCTCGAGACCCACGAAGTGCTGCCATCAATTTATCTTTGTCCCATTTCACCTCATCATACTCAGCACCGTCAGGGGCACGCCATGGCGAAGTCACCTCGTCGTCCATATCAATGTTGAGGGAGATACGGGCATGTACAGGTAGGTGATCCCGATGTCCAGCTACGGGTATATGCTGTAGTTTGGTGCCCATGCGCTTCAACGGTCCCTGAGTTCGCACTCTGGCTGCAACCGAGAGGGGAACAATAACGTGATCTACCATGCTGGTGTTGCCATGCGCGTCGTAGAAAGTCGCTGCAACTCTCTGATACGATGTAGTTGAAAACATTCCGTGTTCTTCCATGAGCTCTCGTAGTCTATGCCCAGCTCCCCATACATGACGCTCGTGTGTGACGCCAAGACCAATGGCCTGCTCGCCAACGTTCTCCCATACCATCGTTCACGTCCGTCATGATGAAGGGGATGGCAGAGTGTGGAGCTTTACCAACTGCATTCGATGCCCATCTCGTCAGTTTTTCACAGCACGATAAGTAGTTGGGCATAGATCTCCTGTCCGACGGCTTCGGTGGATAGTACAATGTCATCGCGTAGAAAGCCATGCCTCTGAATCTGAAGTATACCCCCAGGCCGCGCCCTTGCAGTTGAGCAGGTGGCGTGTCAATTCTCCGTATACATTTCTGCGGCCAACGTGGGGGCAACATGAAGGTACAACCAGCGCTTTTGTTGCTAAATCGACTCTGCTTCCAGCCAGCAACCACTGCTACTCGATTCAATATCCTGGTTATGCGATAAGACTCACCCATGAACGCTTTGCTACATGTCCCTTGCAGTCCTATCATGCCAAAGTTGCTGGCCTCTGCTGCTATGTCCTCCAATCGCGCATTCGATCCATATAGGCAATTGAAAGAGAGAATTGCAAGAAGATAAACCATCGCTGCTAGCCAGCAGCCACAAACTAGTGAGAGTAGATGCCGTACATGTTAGTGTGTCACCTCGGGACGCGCGCGCGCGGCGGAGGAGCAAAAACGGCGGCGCTGGAGGAGGAGGAGGAGGAGGAGGAGGAGGAGGAGGAGGAGGAAGTGGGGAGGAAGAGAGAGGGAAAGGATTGAGGAGGAGGAGAGGGAGGAAGAGGAGGAGGAGAGGGGAAAGCGGGAGAGGAGAGAGGGGAAGGAGGAGGAGGAGAGGAGGAAGAGGAGGAGGTGAGGGGAAGAATGAGGAGGGAAAGGGGGAGGGAAGAAGGAGGAGGAGGTCAAACGTGGCTTTTCCTGCTCCGACGCGTCAGGCTCGGGAAGACGAGCCCTGGCTGCTGGGAGGCCGGCTGCGCCGCGCGTCGACGCCCCGATTGCCGGTGATGTCGCCCCTCTGCAGTGACAGGAGGCAACTCGCTAGGTCAGATATAGAATTTCCGGGTTACCGCGGTCCTCGACCCGCCTGCCTCAGCCCCCAGCCGACCTCCGCCTGACGGCCGCGTCCGCCTACCTGCCGCCGCCGGCAGACGCCTCCCTCCCTCCTTCCCTCCGACATCCATCCCGTCCCTCCCTACCTCCCTCCTCCCTCCCTCCCTCCCTCCCCCCCTCCCTCCCTCCTCCTCCATTCCTCTGCCTCCTCCCTCTCCCCCCTCCTCCTCCTCCTCTCTCCTCTCCTCCTCTCCTCCTCCTCCTCCTCTACCCTCCTCCTCCTCCTCCTCCTCCTCATCCTTCTCATTGCTCTCCCTCGCGCTCCTCGTCCCTCACGCTCCTCTTGCGTCCGCCGCTCTCATCCATCCTCCATCCTGCTCTCCTTCGTCCTCATCTTACGGTGGGGGCGTTTGTTTCACACCGGCCGTTGAAAGTATGTATTTCTGCAGTTCCGGAGTAATCCAGTCTATTTTGAGCGCAATCTTACTCGAATGATCGAGTGGCTTCACCTTTCCCGTCCTCTTTTAGGGGGCGGGCAGACATCCAATCTATCTTCAACGCCTTCCTACTTCGTGTTTCTACCTGCTTCTTCCGACCGATGGGTAAGGATTGTGCCCGGGAGGCTCCAGGCCAAGGAGGATTCCGTCTCTTACGAGGGCGGCGGTGAGATCCGTGGCCATTCCACGATGGGAGTTCCACCTGCTTCCAGACCCTGAGTTTTCCTTCTCCAGTGCCCTCCTAGGAAATATGTAGGGGAACAAACAGAGGCATAAACATAAAAACTCTGAGGTCCGCGCGGATTTCTCGGATCCGCGCTGGGGCCCCCCGGCGGCGCCTATGGCGCCGCCCCAGGCGCGCTCCGCTCGCCAGGGCCAGCGCAGATCCAAGAAATCCGCGCGGACCTCTGAGTTTTTATGCTTATGCCATTTTTCGTTCCCTCAATATGGAGACGATGCCACTCAAGAAAAAAACGCGCCTAATTGACAGCATCGCTTGGAATCGGCGGTCCTCATTGCTACTTCCTACTCCGACCCACAGTGGCTTCAACCTGACTCGTTCGCCCACGCCACCACTTGCCTGTGACCTTGCTGGGCTGACCAGGAGCTCGCAGATGCGCACGCGGGAAAACGGCAGATGGAGCAAAGAGAAGTTCCCCGACTGGCCAGATCTGGTCGGTTACGAGGAAAAGCGACGTCGGAGGCAGGTCGCAGGCGTCCCGAAGTCCGATGATGACCAATGAACTCACAGGCCTTCAAAAAAAGGACGAGCCCTCCGAGGCCATCAGAGCCTTCGAAAGAAGGACGGGCCCTCGAAAGCCATCGAAATAAGGACATCGAAAGAAGCCTTGGGAAGCCTTCGAAAGAAGGACGGGCCCTCGAAAGCCTTCAAAAGCCTTCGAAGAGGAACCTCCGTCTCCAAGCCTTCGAAAGGAGGACGGGCCCTCAGAGGGCCTGCGGAGAAGGGAACACATGGGAGCGAGAGAAGCCTTTCTCCTCCGCGCTCGGGGCACCGACTGTGACCTCGAAGCGATCGGGGATCTCATTCCGTCGCCACGTGGGAGGCGGGTCCTGAGGGCAACGGGTCCTCAGGCTTATCGTGGGTTCGGGGCTCTCGGAGCCCTCCGCCCGCCCCAGGACTGTCAGAAAACGACCCCAGATGGAATCCGTTCTGGGGGAAGGCCTCAGGGTCCAGGACCCGTTTCCCTCAGGACCCGTATCCCCCATTTGAAGTCAGGGTTTTGCTATCATGAGTGGTGGTTGTCAAGTTGATCACCCAACCCGTAGCCTCGCGAGGCCCGCTTTCCACTCGGCGCAAATACGAGGTGTTGTCGACGTGCACGTCATGCTTCAGGACAATATTGCTGACCTTGTCAGTTTGAATCCCATGCTCGAGACTTCCGGTGAACAAATAAGAGCCCCCATAAGAAACCAGCCCGCGTGAAGCGATGTGTGCATTACATGTATTTGTCCTCCTGGTCTCAGGCCTCGTGAAACGCCGTCGAGGGGAAGATGCAACTCTCGAGCAGCTGTTGAGAGCTAAAGCGCGCTGTTCGGAATTCACTCAGAAAACAAGTTTGGTATCCAATCGAATGGCCTTCGGCCCATCCCGCCACCGTGCCTGGGTTGTGGGTATGGCGCCTATTCGATGTTCGTTGGGATCTCGTGAGAGGCCTCTCGGGGGCCTCTTGGAGGGAGTTTGGATGCCTCTTGTGGGCCTTTTGGTGCCTCTTGGAGCTTCTTTTGGGTCTCTTGGGAGCCTTTTTGGGCCTCTTGGGGCCTCCTGGGGCCTCCCGGGCACCTCTTGCAGCCTCTTGGGGGCATCTTTGGGCGGAAAGCGTAAGACAAGGGGTGCAAACTATGTAGTGCAAGCTATGTGGTGAAAGTTCTGTGCTGTACAGTCGGGCCGTTGAAGAAGAACCAGTGTTTCTTCATTGTTTTACAGTCTGTCTTTGGTTTCCTTAAGTTCCCCTTGAGAAGCCGAAGTTGAACCTACCGAAAAAAGGGGCCTCGTTCCTCACGCGGGGTTACTTACGACAGCGGCTCGACGGTATACGCGGTGCAAGCTATGTGGGGCGTTCCAGAAAGGGTCTTGTTTTCGAGGATTAGAGGAGTTGCCATCACTTCCGCGGCGGAAAGGCGGCGGAAGGTCGGCGGAAGTCAAGCAAGGCCGCCTCCACCGGCCTCGGAAGCCGGCGGAAGTTCGGCGAAAGCTCGGCGGAAGGCGGCAGAAAACATGTGCCCCCGAGAGATGAAAACGGTTTTGAGTTCAGGGTTTCCGAAATCGCCCATGTGAGGGGAGGAGGAGGAGTGGAGCGGAGGAGGAGGAGGAGGAGGAGGAGGAGGAGGAGCGCGGCGGAAAATGGAGGAGGAGGAGTGGAGAGGAGGAGAGGAGGAGGGAAAGAGGAGGAGGAGGAGGAGGAGTGGGGAGAGTGGAAGAGGAGAAGGAGGAGGAGGAGGAGGAGGGGTGGTAGGGGGAGGAGGAGGGGAAGGACGAGGAGGAGGGAAAGTGAGGAGGAGGAGGAGGCGGAGGAGTAGGAGGAGGAGGAGGAGGAGGGAAAGAAGAGGAGGAGGAGGAGGACGGACGGGAACGAGGAGGAGGAGTAAGGGAACGAGGGAGGGAGAGCGGGGAGAGGAACAGGAGGAGGAGGCGTGAGGAGGCGAGGCGGAGGAGGAGGGAGGAGGGGGGGAGGAGGAGGAGGTACAGAGAGGAATGAGGAGGAGGAGGAGGAGGAGGAGGAGGAGGAGGAGGAGTGAGGTAGGAGGAGGAGGAAGAGGAGTGGGGAGAGGGGAGGAGAGGAGGAGGGGAGGAGGAGGGAGGAGGAGGAGGAGGAGGAGGAGGAGATGAGGGACGGAGGAGGAGGATGGAAGAGGAGGAGGGGAGTAGGAGGAGGAGGAGCAGCAGGAGGAGGAGGGGGAGGGAAAGAGGAGGAGGAGGAGGGAAAGAGGAAGACGGCTGGGGAGAGAGGAGGAGGAGGAGGAGGAGGAGGAGGAGGAGGAGGAGGAGGAGGAGGAGGAGGAGGATGTGGATGAGGATGAGGATGAGGATGAGGAGGAGGATGATGACGATGATGATGCTGATGATGATGATGCTGATGATGATGATGCTTTTGATGATGATGATGATGATGATGATGATGCTGAGGATGATGACGACGATGATGATGATGATGATGATGATGATGATGATGACGATGACGATGACGATGATGATGATGATGATGATGATGATGATGATGATGATGATGCTGATGCTGATGCTGATGCTGATGCTGATGATGCTGATGCTGATGCTGATGGACGATGATGTGATGGATGACGATGATGATGATGACGATGATGAATGTGCTGGGGATGAGGATGATGCTGATGATGATGATGATGAAGTACTGATGATTGGATGATGATGGTGATGATGATCATGCTGATGGATGATGATGATGATGATGAAGATGACGATGATGAAGATGTTGCTGCTGCTGATGCTGATCTGGATGATGATGATGATGATGATGATGATGATGAGATGATGATGATTGATGATGGATGATGATGATGGATGATCGATGATGAGATGATGATGAGAGAGGAGGAGGAGGAGGAGGAGGAAGAAGGAGGTACAGAGGAGGAGGAGGTACAGAGGAGAGCACAACCTACAACAACGTTGAGGAGGAGTGGTGCGGAAGGAGGGGAGGAGAGGAGGAGGAGGAGGAGGTGGAGGAGTGGGGAGAGTGAGGGAGGAGGAGGAGGAGGAGAGGGGAGGAGGGGAGGGCGGCGGAGGAGGAGGAGGAGGGGAAGGCGGCGGAGGAGGGGAGGAGAAGGGGATGCGGATGGAGGAAGCGAAGACGAGGAGGAGGAGGCATGAGGAGGAGCGAGGCGGAGGAGGAGGAGATGGAGAGAAAGAGGAGGTGGGAGGGCGAGGAGGTGGGGGAGGACGAGGAGGTAGGAGGAGCAGGGGAGGAGGAGGAGGAGGAGGAGGAGGAGGAGGAGGAGGAGAGGAGGGACGACCGAGGAGGAGTTGGGGGAGTGGAGGCGGAGGGAGGAGGAGGAGGAGGGAGGAGGAGGAGGAGGAGGAGGAGGAGGGGAGGAGAGGAGGAGGAGTGGGGAGGAGGAGGAGGAGGGAAAGAGGAGGAGGAGGAGGAGGAGGAGGAGGAGGAGGGAAAGAGGAGGAGGAGTGGGGAGAGTGGAGGAGGAGGAGGATTAGCATGATTAGCAGCATTGGCGCAACCAGACTCCATGAGCGCAGGGAAGCCCAAACACTGGGCAGCCTTAGGCGTCGAGCCTGGGCCGCCCTCGGCTGAAACACAGCAGAAAATGGGGCGCCCCGTGCCGCGGGGCCCCCCAGCGGACCCCAGCAGCCCCCACTAATAGGGCAGCCAGGGCCGACGAAACCCCAGGGCGGTGCGGGTCGCACTGGAGGCGCCGTGCGGCGCACCGCCCTGGGGGCCAGGGGCCCCACGCGGCAGCAGACGGGCCCCCGCCTCCCGCACCCCTCGCGCTCTCGGCGCTGGCGAGGGGTGCCTTCGCGCCGCGAATCGGGCGTGTGAGGCCCGCCTTCGCGCGCTGCACCCATCGCGCCCTCGGAACAGGCGATGGGTGGCGCGTCGCAGGCCCGAGGGAGTCAGCGCCAGCCCGCCCCCCGAGGGGACCCCAGGGGGAGGAGGGGCACCAAGTAGAACGAGCTCAGGGACCCCGAGCCAGGGGGGCCTGGCAACGGGGGGCATCCCGAGTCCGCCCCACCTAACGCCCCACCCCACCCCAGGGGAGAGACCCCCAGGGGGCCTGGGCGCCCAAGCCCCCCCGCCGCCCTCCGGGAGGAGGAGGAGGAGGAGGAGGAGGAGGAGGAGGAGGAGGAGGAGGAGGAGGAGGAGGGAGGAGGAGGAGGAGGAGAGGAGGAGAGGGAGGAGAGGAGGAGGCGGAGGAGAGGAGGGAGGGACATATGAAGGAGGAGTGGGAGAGTGGAGGAGGAGGAGGAGGAGGAGGAGGAGGAGCGAGGAGGAGGAGGAATAAGGGGAGGAGGAGGAGGAGGAGGAGGAGGAGAAAGGAGGAGAGGAGGAGGAGGAGGAGGAGGAGGAGATGAGGAGGAGGAGGAGGAGGGGAGGAGGAGGAGGAGGAGGAGGAGGAGGAGGAGGAGGAGTGGGGAGAGTGGAGGAGGAGGAGGAGGAGGAGGAGGAGGAGGAGGAGGAGGACGAGGAGGAGGACGAGGAGGACGAGGAGGAGGAGGAGGAGGAGAAGAGGAGAGGGAAGAGGCGGAGGAGGAGGAGGAGGAGGAGGAGGAGGAGGAGGAGGAGGGAACGAGGAGGAGGAGTGGGGAGAATGAAACAGGAGTTTTTGTCCTCCTCGTGCGATGTGGGCCCAAGGGAGCCAGCGAGCGACAAGCGGCGCCATGCGCAGGCCTATAGAGACGTAGGCACCGATGTTTTGAGCGCTTTACGGGGAAATCGGCCAGCTCGCGATTATCGTCGCGCTCTCGCCGCACTTGGGATGCTGGCCCTTCAAGAGCCGCCTCCGTTTGTGCAGCGCCGCCTCGGAAATCTTCCACCCAGGGCGATTTTCGGCGGGGCAAGGGCCCCCGAGACCAGCAGGCTTGCTGGTCGCGTACATGGAGCACTTCTTACAAAATTATGCTAACGGAGTTCCCCACATAAAGAGATTAACGGTTTCGTGGGACCCATTTTCTTGATGCCCTCCTCGCGACGCAGGAGGGGTGGGAGGGGCACGAAACCATGTAAATAGTATGGTATTCCGATACCCTCCTCGCTCAGGCTGGGCCTCCCTGGAGGGGTGGGAGGGGCACGAAACCATGTAAATAGTATGGTATTCCGATGCCCTCCTCGCTCAGGCGGGGCCTCCCTGGAGGGGTGGGAGGGGCACGAAACCATGTAAATAGTATGGTATTCCGATACCCTCCTCGCTCAGGCGGGGCCTCCCTGGAGGGGTGGGAGGGGCACGAAACCATGTAAATAGTATGGTATTCCGATACCCTCCTCGCTCAGGCGGGGCCTCCCTGGAGGGGTGGGAGGGGCAGTGATATGGTATGGTATGCTATGGTACGCCATGGTATGGTATGGTACGGTATGGTACGTATGGTGTGGTATGGTATGGTTGGTATGGTATGGTATGGTATGTGTGGTAGGAACTATGGTATGGTATGGTGTGTGTGGTAGGAATAATATTGTGCTGTATGGAAGATGGAGCGGGAGGTGGGTGGGAAGGAGAGGGTGTTCTGGGAAAACAAGAACCCCACTCAGGATGTGGGGAACAATACAGTCTCGCCGACGGGAGCTCCAGGCTTGGCCGCGAGCTCACACCATTCGACGTCGTGGGAGTCTAGAAAGGACTCCACACGGGCAAAACTGGGAGGCCGATCCTCGACTCCTCGGCATTCCTTACGGTCGATGCCTGCCTCACGCGTCGTTTTACAACGCAGGCAGCGGACGCATTGCCAGCGACTCCTGCCGACCACAAGGAATTCGTGGGCGATCATGGCGGCTGCCACGCGAGAGGCGGGCGGCCTGCGCAGGTCGGCCCATTCCTGCTTCGGGGTGGGGCCCGTGCCCAGCACGCGGGCGACCCCTCGAAGGAATTGCTTCATCCTCGCGAGCCGGTCCTCGAGATCGGCGACGAGGGAGGTGGAGGTGCCGTGGAGGCGAGCTCCTAACTTCGCGGCCTTATCGGCCTGAGCCAGGCAGTCCACTCCGCATCGGAGGCGGGCTGCTCGACGACGTGCACGTGGGATTTTTGTTTAACCAGGCCAGCGTAGGCCTGGTCCTGCCGAGGGAGGGCCCGCCAAAAGCCCGCGAACGGAGACGTGGACTTGCCCGCTTGGGCCGTCCCACTCCTGGCCGACCCCAGGACCGAAGAACAATCACCCGTGTACGTGCACGTGCCGTCCGAAACTTCGGCGCCCGTGAAGGGATCGAGCCGATGATCATGTGCAGGACGCCCTGCACAGCATCCCACTGGACGACGTCCCAACCCGCCCGCACGAGGGAGGTAAGAGGAGAGGTGGAGCAAGACCCATCTCCCGCTATCTTCTCGCCTGGCACAAAAACAAAAACTTTGACTGGCACCTCGCGCTCTCCGATGAAAGCGCGCATTTCTCCACGAGGCGGCTCTGGCAGCCGCGGCGGAGGCGAAGGCAGGCACAGGTCCAGCAAAACCGTGTCACAGAGCGAGCGGCCGGCCTCAAGATCGCCATGCCAGCCAGTCTCCGCCGCCCGGCCCGCCGCGAAGCGCGGGCAGCATCCGACGCGATGGGCGACGGTGTCTGGCACCCCGCAGGTCGCGCACATGCCGTCCACAAGGTAGCCGAGGTCGCGGGCCCGCTCGCCCGTCAAGTACGTGCCGCCCAGCAACGAGACGATCACGTGGCGTTCCAAGGCGCTGCAGTAGCTCCCCTTGAGGGCCGCCTGGACTCCCTCCCACCAGATGCCATCGAAGTCCGCGCCGAGGTTGAAACGGTGCCTGATAGCCTCGTCGGCCCGCAGCTCGATCTGCGCCAGCACGTCGAGCTTGAAAATGCGGCCCAGCTGTCTGGGCGAGGTCTCCAGCACGCTGATCACCCCCGCGCTGGGAGACCTGAAAGAGGTCGCTGAAGGGGAAGTCCACCCCGCCCAGTGGAGACTGCGGAGCATGGCCCCCACGGGGCCTGCCTCGCCGAGCTTCCCGTCGAAGCTAGCCGCCGCCGCCTCGTACGCTCCACGAAGCTCGGGGAGGCTGAGGACGCGCCCGTTTCGTTGGCGCACGTCCGAGGCTCGCCACCACTCCTCGGCGTACCTCTCGACGGTGAGCACCGTCGCGCGCCCCAGGGGCGACCAGCCTGGCAGCGCTGCCTCCAGGATGTCTGAGGCAATGAAAGGATGGCCAGCCAGCGCCTTTGCCCTCGCCCTCAGGTCCCCGAGTTCCTGCGGCGAGAAGCCCGAGACTTCGCCCCCCCCAGACGGCCGCAGGCACGATGGCGGAATGCCATATGCGCTTGCAGCCAGCCACCTGCTTGATGGCCCGCAGGGCCTTGCGCAACCGGCCTCTGCCAGCCTCGACCCGCCGCTGCCGAACGGGCCCAGCGAGATGGGCAACGCCCGGCCTGCCGAGCGGCCCGCGCCGCCGCCTCCCAGCACGGAAGTCCACGCCGAGGTGCCGCACCGAGGCGTTGACGGCGCTGCGCAGCCTGCGCCGCGCGCTTGGCCTGGCGGCCTCAGGCAGCCCGAGGCTCTGGAGCGCAAGCTGGGCGGCCGAGGTGACCTCGTCCGAGCTGCCCAGGAGCGTGCCCTTGGCCGCCGCCAGTGTCATGTCCAGGTCGCCCTCCAGCGCCGCTTTGAGATCGCGGGCTCCGTCCACCAGGGTGGTGACGACCTCCTGGATCGAGTCCCCGACGACCTCCTGGCTGATGTCGTCGACGTGCATCGCCAGCACGACGCCGACGTGCTCAAGCTGCTGCTGGCGGAGGTCCTCGATGAGGTAGGCCGCCAGGCAGTACGTGGCGGAGAAGCAGCCCGCCACCACCCCGCCGTCGGGGTAGATCGGCTCGGCGACGAGCCCGTCCATGGTGACGAATCGCTTCCAATTTCGTCTCCTGCAGGAAGACCAACGAGTAGTCCAGCTCCCGCAGGTGGTCCACCAAGTCTGCTCCCGTCCCCCATGACGTGATGTTGACCGTGGCGAACGTGAGAGTCCGTCTCCCTCGGGCACCGCTGGCTGCTCACACCCAGCGCGGCTGGCGGCGCGGGCCCCGGGAGCGGGGCCACCGCGCGTATTACCCGCGCGCCTTCTTGACCATCCGCAGGTCGCGGAGGGTCGTGGCCAGGGCTCGCTTGGCCTCAGGGTTGCGGGAGGCCTCCTGGATGAGCTTGACGGTGCCGTCGTCGAGCACGTCGGGCATCTCCTCGTCAGGGGGCTGGGCCTCAGGACCAGAAGCAGCAGGGTCAGGAGGGCCAGGCGCCGCGGCCAGCTTCGCCAGGACTTGCCCCAGCAACTCGCCGAGAACCTTCTCCCCGCCGCCGACGGCGCCGAGCGACGCGCCCTGCGGGTGCTCTTGCAAGACCTCCGCGAGCACCTCCTTCTGCACCTCGGGGGGAGGCACCTGCACGGGCGCGCGAGTGGCCTCCTGCTCAGGGGCCGCCTTCGCCATCGCCTGCCGCAGATCCGCCTGCACCGCAACGACCGCGCTGGCGGTGTTCGCGATGTCGGTCTGGTGCGCTTCCAGGTCGGCCTTCGCCTGGTCCAGCGCCGTCTGCGCCTCCGCGATGCTCTTCTGCTTGTCATCCGTGGCCAAGCGGAGCTTCTCCTGCTTGGCCTGGAGGCGGCCGAGGCGGCTCGAGAGAGCAGCCACCTGGGCCTGCGGCGCCTTGGCCTCCATGCGCTCGGCGCGCAGGGCCGCCAGGCGGGTCTCCTGCGCCTGCACGAGCTCGTCGCCCAGCTTGAGCCTCTTGGTCTTGGCGATCTGACTCTCGAGCTCCGAGATCTGGGCCAGCCGCTCGGAGTCTTCGTCGACGGGCTCCTCGGCGGCGGGCTGCGCCGCAGCGGTGCCCTTCGCGCCGCCACCGCCGGCAGAGGCCAGGCTGACTTTGATCGCCTCGAGCTGCTTGCGGAAGGCCGCCATCTCGCTGGCCAACGCGCCCGGGGTGCCGCCGGCCTTGCCACCGCCTCCGCCGCCGGGCTTCGTGCCGCCAGCCTTGGCGTGCTGCTCCTTGGCGCGCCGCAAGACCCCAGGCGGCGCAGCAGCCCCGCAGCTGCAGACCGTCCTGGAGGCCCAGTTGGCCTTGCGGTCGCAACTCGAGCAGGCCCAAGTGGGACCAGCGCCATGCCGCGAGAACTGGACTCGGCAGCGCGCGGCTCGACCGAGGGAAACGCTTGCTCTCCCACGGGCGACTGCGCCCACGCGAGGAGAGGGCCGGAATGGCTGAAGAGCACGGGGGCTTTGAGCCCAAGCTGCGGGGCTCTCAGCCCCCTTAGAGCCCGATCGGGTTCTAAAAGAGCCTTGAGCCAAAACGGCTACGGAGGAATGAAACAGGAGGAGGAGGAGGAGGAGGAGGAGGAGGAGGAGGAGGACGAGGAGGAGGAGGAGGAGGAGGAGGAGGAGAGGAGGAGGGGGGGAGGGGGGGAGGGAGGGAGGGAGGAGGGAGGGAGGGAGGGAGGGAGGGAGGGAGGGAGGGAGGGAGGGAGGGAGGGAAGGAGGGAGGAGGGAGGAGGGAGGAGGAGGAGGAGGAGGAGGAGGAGGAGGAGGAGAATGAGGGACAGTGGAGAAGGATTGGGGAGAGTGGGGAGGAGGAGGAGGAGGAGGGAGGAGGAGGGAAAGAGGAGAGGAGGAGGAGGAGGAGGAGGAGGAGGAGGAGGAGGAGGAGGAGGAGGAGGAGGAGGAGGAGGTGGAGGAGAGGGAGGATGGAAAGAGGCGGAGAGGGAGGAGGAGGAGGAGGAGAAGGAGGAGGAGGAGGAGGAGGAGGGACAGAGGAGGAGGCGTGAGGAGAGTGGTGGAGGAGGAGGAGGAGGAGGAGGAGGAGGAGGGAAGGAGGATGAGGAGGGAATGAGGATGATGAGGATGAGGAGGAGGAGGGAAAGATGAGGCGGAGTGGGGAGAGTGGAGGAGGAGGAGGAGGAGGAGGAGGAGGAGGAGGAGGAGGACGAGGAGGGAAAAACGAGCAAGGAGGAGGAGGAAAAAGGAGGAGTGGCAACGGGCGCCATTTTGGCGAGGTAGCTTGGTGAAGTAGTGCTTTGGACATCGTTGGGCCCCTTTGGGATGTCCTCTTGGAGCCCTCCTTGAGGCGTCATGGGTGCCTCGTTGGGCCGTCTTGCGGCTGTTCTGAGCCGCCTCGGGGAGATCTTGCGCCGTTTCGCAGTTTTTTTGGACCGTCTGCACGACCTCTTGGGATTTTGTTGGCCCGTCTTGGGGCCCCCTGGCCTCTGGAGAATCCACGCGGTCGACCGAGAGTCAGGCGGCACATCCCAAGACATCCAGGATTTTCGCGTCCACGCCTTGGAACATGTATTCAGCATTTAGCATTGCTGACTTTAGAGCACTTGCAGACGCTCCACTCAGTGCGTCGCGGTATATAATGCTCTTACTTAAGACAATCCATAGATTGACGGCGCGTTGCTCTAATCACGGTTCGCACCGCGTTAAGGAGCGAATCGGCAGTTTTGCAGCGCTTTTGGCGACAGCACCACGCCACGCTCAAAGCCATGGTGCACTAGTATTTTCAAAATGTTGGGCCTCTTTCCCATGTTGGCTTCATGTCGTTCATTGTCAGGCGTACATCCTCCTCCAGTGATGGGCCGTGGCAGTCTCGAGACGTCCCCGCCGCAAGACTCGACCGTCCACGTCAAAACGTGAACCCGTGATGGATCGTGATCGGCCATGAGGGTCTCGTGACGGTCCCGTGAAACAGCCCTGACCGCCAACGCTAAAAGCGAAGAAGTCCACATGAAAGCCAGACCGCCTGCATGAAAGAAACGGGTCCGTTCACGACCAAGACGTCGGAATAGTGATCGTGTTCTTCCTCATTATTTTGACGATCGGCGCGGGCCCTCGCCCCCCCCCCTCGCACTGTTTTTTGGGGCCTGTTTCGGGCAGGTGGGGTTTCCCCCAGAAGCCGCACAGTTCCAAACAGCCGCACGAAGCAAAGGTCCCGAGCCATACCCCCCTTTCCCTTCCCTCCCCCTTTCCGCCCAATGCCTCGAAGAAGAACAACAACCATACACCTAATTTTGTTGGCACTCCGCGCTGGACTTCTTGGATCCGCGCTGGGCCCCCTTGGCGGCGCCTCCGCCCCTGGCGCGCTCCGCGCGCCGGGGCCTGGCGCAGATCCAAGAAATTCAGCGCGGAGCGCCAAACGTCCTTGTTTACGGTGCTTTTCCTTTGCAGGTCGCAGTGCCGGATATGAGAACGTCCACATCAGGACCTTGCTGAGGTTCAGGAGGGACTCCTGGTGTTCGGGCCGTTCTTTTGCTCTGGGTCGGGGAGGGCCCTCTTCGCGGCCCCTATCCTTCCTGGTATCCTTTTCCTGGCAGGCGTGTGCGGCCACAAACACTGAAATTGTAGCGCCAAGAACTACTTGGCGCACCTCACCACACATTGATATGCTCTGCCTGATATGCTCTGGGTCGGGGAGGGCCCTCCTCGCGGCCAAGCCTCGGCGTAGCCAGCCGGCGGCAGGGCGTGTCGTCTTCCTCCGTGGCCCTTGCTGCGACAGCACGGCGGGCTCTTCTGCGCCCGACCCTCGCGCGACGGGGAAGAACTGCCTCTTTTGTGCGGGGGGGGGTCGGAGGCAACTCCTGGGAGGTCAAATTCTGCGTTCGCCCTGGTCCGCAATCCGGCTTGATCCCGCTTCATCCCGCTTCATCCGGCTTGCTCCCGCGTAATCCCGCTTCATCCGAGGCCCTTTCCGGCGTAACCGCCCCCCAATGGGGCTTAATCCTTTTTAATCTTTCCGACGGAAACCTCCCAGTAGTTGCCTCGGGGGGAGGGGGGGGGCTGGGCGGGGCGCTGCTCCTCCTCGGGGGTGCCCCGCTGCAGGCGCGGGCCCAGCTCACCACCCCCGCTGTGAGAGAGGACGACCGCGCCCACCCCCCGAGAAGGATCTCCACGCGGGAGGTCGGCCGTGCGCAGAGGGGGGGGGAGAGGGAGGAGCCGAGCAGGAGGAGGAGGACAGCTGACAGTCTGGTGCCAGTTTGGCCCTCCTCGCCCTCGCCCTCCTCCTGCCTCGCCCGCGCCCTCCTCCCCGCCCCTGCCCCCCCCCCCTCCTCGCCCGCGCCCCCCTCCTCGCACTCGCCCTCGCCCTCTCGCCCTGTCCGCGGCCCCCCTCCGCCCTCGCCCTCCTCCCCGCCACCCCAAGGCTCCGACGGCAGCGTGCTGTTCCAGCCCGCCCTGTGCACGCTGGAGCATGGAGTGCAGTACGCCGGCAGCACGGTCATCATGAAGGCGGCGCTCCCGCGCCCCACCCCGTCCCATCGCCCCGATCGTTTGTTTATTCGATTGGCGCGCTTCTCGTCAGCATCATCAGCATGATGATGCTGATCATCATCATCAGCATCATCATCAGCAGCAGCACCATCACCATCATCACCATCATCATCACCATCATCATCACCATCATCATCACCATCATCACCATCATCATCACCATCATCATCATCAGCATCATCATCATCATCATCGTCATCGTCATCGTCATCGTCATCATCGTCGTCGTCATCATCAGCAGCATCATCATGATCATAATTATCCCAGTGCGACCCTACCTAGGAGTTGGAGCATCTAGGAAAGCAACATCTACATCTACACCGACAGCTACATTAACATCTACACCGTTAGGCAGAGCCTAGGTAGGGGATGATGAAAAGGTACCGGTACTGCTACCCTTCGCCCGTTTTCCCATGTTTCGGCTAGGGTACGCTAGGGTGCACTCGTCTGCGCTGTGTTATGCTAGGCTAGGCTATGCTATGCTATGCTAAGCTTTGCTATGTTGCGCTATGATAGGCTATGCTATGATATGATATGCTGCGCTATGCTATGCTATGATATGTTATGTTACGATATGATATGTTATGATGTGCTATGCTATGCTATGCTATGCTATGCTGCGCTATGCTAATGCTGTGCTGTGCTATGCTATGCGATGCTGCGCTGTGCTACGCTAAGCTAAGCTATGCTAGGCTATGCTATGCTATGCTGCGCTATGCTAGGCTATGTTATGATATGCTATGCTACGCTATGCTAAGCTGCGCGATGCTATGCTATGCGATGCGATGCTATGCTATGCTAATGCTGCGCTAAGCTGAGCCGAGCTAAGCTAAGCTAGGCTAGGCTAAGCTAGGCTAAGCTAAGCTAGGCTAGGCTAGACTAAGCTAAGCTAAGCTAAGTTAAGATATGCTAAGCTAAGATGAGATAAGCAACGCTAAACTATGGGGACGCAACTGGGGGAACCGCGGGGCGGATACTGGGGGAACCGCCCGGGGTGGTGTGCACTGCCCGGCCCCATTAAGAAAGAGAGCAAGAGGCAGAGCCAAGGTAGGCAATCATCATAATCAGCATCATCTTCATCATCAGCAGCATCATCACCATCATCCTCATCATCATCATCCTCATCATCAGCAGCAGCATCAGCTTCATCGCCATCATCATGAGCAGCAGCAGCATCATCATCGCGCCCTTCTACCACCGTCCCGTGCGATCAACTTCATCCAACGTAGATGCCTATGACAATATGCTTAAACATCGTGCCCCCCATATGATTACTTTCATCTTTTCAAATCATCTGGTTCATTGGTCATGCACTGGGTCATCATCGCCATCATTATCGTCATCACTGTGAAATTCCTCCCGTCCAGCTGCGCGGCTGTTTGTGTCTCGGCTGTTTGAAGGGCGCGAGGAGATGTACTATATCGTTGCTGATTCCTGCCGCCATCTTTCAGCACGCAAGCTGTGCATCGTCTTTGGTCGCAGCTACCGTCTAACCACCTCGCCGTCGGCAGCAGCAATGGCAACATCAAGGCCCGAGAAGTCTTGTCCAAGGGAAGATCAGGCGCGGTGCAGTGGCAAAGTCAGGATGTCCCAGTGCAGCCACTTCTTCTTCGAAGTGTTGTGCCGCTCTGCTGCGCAAAGGACATCAGCGCCCTGCTCAGCAAGCAGACAAGGTGATCAAGGACGGACTGTGACTCTGACCCGCCATTCTGAGACGACCTGACCCAGCACGTCGCGGCAGCGCAGAAGTCCAAGGTGCGCACAAGCGAGTCGAGCGCTTCCTCGCTCGAGAAGGCCAATCGCGGTGTGGACTGCCTCGACGGCAACGGCGTCGTCGGGTCATGCCGCATGGCTTTGACCCAGGAGATCGGTCCACCCCGGGCAATGCCCTCAGGGCCGATGGGCCCTCAGAGGATGCCCTCGAAGCCGATGCCAGCACCACGCAAGATCGACCCGTTGCGAACGTGCACGTGGTGGATTGGACTGTTTCAACTGGCGCTCTTTGCGTCCACGTTCGCGGCCATAACTTTGGCCACGTTCGTCGGGCAACCGTGCTACATAGCCGGCAGCGTGCTTGGTGTCCTCAATTGGCGCTTGACCTATTTATTATTGTTACTTTAGAAAAAAAATAATAACGTGATGGTGCCGGGGGTGGACATCGACGGTGCCCCTTTCGCCCTGCTGCTGTCGCTGCCCGCTGCGCTCGCGACCTTGACCGTGGCTCCGCGGTTGCCCGCGCGGCGGCGAACTTGGTGAACAAATCGGCACATCGGCAGAATAATGTGAGCCAGTGTGGGCCCCAAACAGTAGGTTCTTGCAGCCTATGCGGGCAATGCATGTGGTGCAACGCATGCGGTGCAATCGATGTAATGCAACGTGCAGCAATCGATGTGGCGCAATGTATGCGACGGTGCGGCGACGGCGGCGGCGACGGGCGGCACGGGCCGCGACGGCCGCCCCTGGTCCCGAGACAAGCGGCGGCGACGGACGGCGACGGGTGGCACCGCCCGCAAAAGCCGCCCCTGGTCCCGAGATGGTTAAGCCAAGTAGGAAGCCCTAAGTGCAAGCACTTTTGGGGGAACTTGTGGAGGTCCTCGCTGATTTCTTGGATCGGCGTCCGTAGCCATTTTGGTTCAAGCCACTTTGGCTCAAGGTTTTGAGTTCCCAGGTTTCACAAGTGGATACCGCTAGTCCGCGGCAGTGCCAGAGCGCTTGCGCTCGACAGTCTTTTTCGTTCAGCCAGTACCGCAGGGGCTCTCTGGCGGCCCAACTCGCAACAAAGACGTCGCCATGGTGCCAGCGCCGTGGACATGGAGTGGTAAGCAGCAGCAGGAGTCCAAGCAGGATTGAATGTGCAAGTTTTGCACGTTTCGTCGTACTGGGGCTCCTCTCATCAACTATGGGATCAATGAGAAGTGCTACAAGTGCAAGCTGCACAAGGGGGTGGCATTCAAGTGCCAGCAGGACCAAGCGCAAGGCCGACGGCACTAATGTTGCATCGGCTGCATCGTATGCCAAGTTGGAGAAGCGCCTGCACCAGCTGGAAGCCGAGAATGCGAAGCTGCGTGGTTCGCCTGACTCGGGCGGAGGCGACGCGGCAGACGAGCACAATGAGTCGGAAGAGCTACGTGATGAGATCGATCGGCTCAGCAAGCATGTGCAGTGGCTGGAGTCGGTCCGCTCCCCTTGGGCGGAGCTACCTCTCAAGGCTGCTCGCGAGCAGCTGGGGGGAGCTCGGCGCAAGCTGTGCGAGAACAAGCCCCTGCCCGCGAAGCTCACGGCATTGTCGCGCCGAGCTGAGCAGGCCCGCATCCGCTACCAGAAGGCGAACCAGGACAAAGTGGCAGCGGACCAAAAGCTGCTCAAGGCGCAGGAGGAGGCCCAAGCAGCTGCGCAAGTGGTCCTGGAGCGCCAGAAGGTCTGCCTGCAGCCGGAGGAGGGTGCGTGCTCTCGCATCATCGCAGCCAGCTGATGAGCCAGGTCAGCATCAGGCTATGGACCTCACGGGCCCTGGGATCAAGTTGGACGAGGCCAAGTTGCTTTCAGCGCTTGGTGCGATGGAGGGCGTCGAGGACGCCAGCAAGCTGGCCCCGAAGCTGGCTGAGGTGCTCAAATCCTGGGCGGCTGAGCTGCTGGAGGAGCCGCCCGGCAAGCGAGCCCGCGGGGCAGCAAGCGGAGGTCAACCAGCGGAGCCGCCCCCAGCAGCATGGGACATTGACGCGATCGAGTTGGAGCTGCTGCGCAAGGATGTCGGCACCTGGGCTGACGAGGGTGAAGACGAGGAGGAGCTTCGAGCCAAAGCTCGTTTTTTGGCAGCAGGAGGCTTCAAGCCTAAGCGGCTACACAATCCTAACTATTGAGTGCCTCCCTCGTGTCCTCGGATGCGGTCAAAGGGGGCGAAGTGGAAGACATTCGGTTAAGACCAGTAACCTACGGATGCCTGCAGTTCCCTGACTACAGCTGCCTGGACCCGTGCGAGTATTTGAATGGAGAAGAGGCATCAAGCGATATGGTGCCTCTCTCTGCTGGGCAACTTGCGTTGCAACACGCTGTTCCACCTGGCCCCTGGCGTACCACATGAGCCCTTTCCTGTTCATGACTTGGAGTTGCGCGGCCGGAGTTCAACTTGCACAGCGCTCAGCAAGCTTCAGGTGGCTGGTGACAAGCAACCGATACAATCGTTCGGGGTCAGCACGGAGTTCGCGGTGGCATGCTACAACTGCAATTCCTGGGCCACGGCTCAGAGTTTCATGGAATGGTGCGTGCTGGACCAGTTGCTACAGGCGGACATTTTCGCGTTGCAGGAGCTCCGCCCCACAGCAGAGGAGCAGATCCGACGCGGTCAAGCTTGGGCTCGTGCTCGAGGCTATCGGCTGGAGGCGTCACCGTGCGCGATCACAGGCAATTCGGCTTTGTCGACGTCCTGCGGGGTAGGCCTGCGCACGCGTGCTCACATTCCTGTTGTAGAGTATGTGCCAGCATGTGCACACCCCAGGAGCAGGCTAAGGTTTCAGCGCACTGTATTAGGCGATATGCAGATTCTCTTCGTTTCGGTGAATGGAGAGGTGGGAGTGGGCCTTAAGGGCAACGTGGAGCTCTTGGGAGCTCTCATTGAGGCCATCAGGGCCTCATGCCTGCCCTTCTGCATTGCTGGTGACTGGAACATCGAAGCTGAGCTTGTTGGGACCGACAGTTTTCTTCGGCATGGTTTCCTAAACGCGCTACACGCGGAGTTTGTGCGCGTTGAACAGCCCACGTGTAATAACAGCTGCATAGACTTCTTCGTAATAAGCGATGTGCTAGTGCCCTTCGTCCGTAGCATATGCCTTCGGCAGGGCACTCCCCTGGGGCCCCGCAAAGCGGTGGTCCTCAGGATGTCGGGGATAGGAAGCCACAATTTCATTTACTGGCGGATCCAGCCCGAGGCGTTCAGGCTCCCCAGAAAAGAGGGAGCCATT